CTCACCAAAAATGTTTACGTTATTAACCACAAGCAAGTACCAATCGTTAACAACGTACGTAATAAGCTAATTTTTACTGAAGCTGAAGTTAGTTGAACTCAGCAACAAGTGTCTGTAAACGTAGTAAACAAGAAAAACAGTTATGATAAAGGAATTTTGTGCCTGTAAAAAACAGAAAACAGCAAAACCATCCGACTAAACCAAAACAATCAATATAAGTTGTTTTTGCTGACATGAATCATGCCGAAGCTACTGTACGTTAGCACATTTAGGCAAAACGTTAGTTAACGTACGTTACTAAAAACGTTAGGCATAAGTTACCTGTAACATCAGTAATTACTCAGCAACAACTTTAGGATAAGCTTAACTAACAGTTTGACCCAACGTTTTACAGTTCTTTAAATTAGGAACATGAACACAAAACAAATTACGTTTAAGTTATTGAAAAGGGAGGGCGCGGGGTGAGTGGCAGAAAGCTGGTCAAAGCAGCTTGCTTGGAGCAAGAAATTCACGCGGAAATTTGAACTAACGTTTACGATATGCTAAATTCCATAATTTCACATTAACTATAATCGATTTATTTTTATATCGATATATCAGCAGCAAGTGAAACATTGTTCCTTCACTGATTGGTTAAGGCAGGAATGGGCAGCGTGATTCGAAGCGACTTGGACAAAGGGCCCAAAACTTTGGATGGGTAGACGGGAACTGGGTCAAGTGGAAGGCATCTCCAAAAACTGCAGCTCTTTGGGTTGTTTCCTGGTCTTGCAGAAGGTCAGACCTATCAAAGTGGTCCAGGAAGGAGAAGACCAGAGAACAAGGGTCATGGCCAGGCTCAATGATTGCAGGTGGATGAAGGGTGAAGGCTGGCCCGTGTGGTCCGATCCAACAGACGAGCTACTGTAGCTCAAACTGCTGAAACAGTTAATGCTGGTTCTGATAGAAAGGGGTCAGAACACACAGTGCAACACAATCTGTTAGTATGGGACCACCAGGGTGCCCAGGTGGTCAGAATGTTATGGCTGATCGATGTATATCTAAATAGAACAGCTGAGTGGGATGGAGAATATTTCTTGCCTACAGGAAGTGGGTTTTATTTGTTTTTTTTAATTTTTATCAATTTTTTCTGACACTGATAAATGTCCCTATATCCTGACAGTAAAAGTTTTTCTTATTACAGTTACCTACTTAAGCTTCAATAACATTAATAAACATTGCTGTAAATGTGCCAGAGTAAGTGAAGAGGCTATTTTTCATGGACTTCCTGAAAGATTTTCAGGTGTATACAGACACCTCTATGGATGCCAATTTTGTTACATTTTAAAAGCTTGTGAGAAATTGATTCAGATGGAAATGCGATTGGCGATCCTGAGTGATGTTCTGACAGGAGTTTGTCTCCCTCAGGTGCAACATGGTACTTGGGTGCCCCACAGCTTTCCGGATTACTTGGACCGGATTGAGACTGGCTCCATGACAATTTCAATCAAGAATGTGAACTACACTGATGAGGGACGTTATACCCTGAAAGATCGCAGGGACCGGGTGGTGTCTATTACTAGAATGGACCTGACAGGTAGGTCCCCAGATCTTTATTATTCGTTTGGAGCCCAAATTAGGTTCCACCAAGTGGTCACTAGTCTTCCTGGGGTCCACAATTGTGTAATTGCAGTTAGGGTTGTTAAAATTCAGGCAATTGCTGATATATTTACAAGTAGTTTCAGCTGGGAAAGGTCTGAGTGCCGAGTTTGCTACATATTATTATTACACCTGTTTTTCTTATTAAACAGCAAAATACCACCGTACGCCTTCTGAATTCAAGTTTCTCTCTTTCACTGAACTAAGACCAGCTACATTGCACTGTTAAAGCTAGGTTTTTGTTTTATTGGCTGTTCAAGTTCTTTCCCCATAACATCCTCACAGAAATCAATAAATCAAATCCTCAAATAAAAAACAAATCTGTTATCTGTAGCGGTCACAGGCGTGCAGTAAGTCCTGCCAGTCGTTTCAGTTGCTGGCTGACCTGCCTGTCTACTTACCTCTGCATACTAGAACTGTGTGAATAAGACGTGAGGTAGGGGGATACAGTTACTGATGTCAGTGATGCACTGTGCTCTCCTCAGGCACTACCTGTATGTTGGAGGAGTGGCTTTGGAGGGAGGCTGTCTGTTGCTAGTTTGTCCACCATTACCTAACCTAATAACCTGGAGTCATTCAGACTCAACCAGCACTAAATAAAACTCCACAAAACCGTCTTGATTAGTCTCTCCACTGTTTAAACACCAGCTCTGGTTTGGTTGAAATAAACCTTTAATTATATGCGATAATTATAGATTATAGGCTCTACACACACCTCTGTCTGCCATTGCCAGCCTCTTTGTGCTGACGTTACCATGTGAATGAGAGCAACTCTCACTCATTCTTTGGAGGAAGACAGGTATCCTGGAAAACCTGGAATACCTGGAAATTGATATGACCAAATATCCTGGGAAATTTTAATTGTATTTTTTATTCCCTCACTCAGATCGCACAAAGCAGGTTTACCAGACACAGAGCGCCCTTTTTAGGGTCTAGTGTATTTTTTCCAGAGCCGCAATCAGAATTCCGATGAAAGCCCCGTGGAAGAATTTCTTGTTGCTGTGGTTAATACACTGTATCATTAAAAATGGAAGAATAAAACTAAATGTGTCAATATTTGACCTACCAGTAAAATATGTAACCATATGTGAGCATATGCTGTCTTGGAAAATGTCCTGGAAAGGTCCTGGAAAAACATTTCCTAAACAGAGTGGGAACCCTGGGAAGAACATTAAATTAGCAAAACAAAATCACAAAAATTGCACCCAAAAAATTATTGATTCAGCCAATCTTCCAACCCTGTCCGCAGCCAGTAACTTTGACACCGAGCAATAACAGGTTTAGAAGCACAGAACAAGCTTTCAAATTCCAAACCCTGGTGTTCTGATCAGCCGTGGATGTGCCTTCACTGCCTCCTCCATTTGTCTTGTCAGACTTTGATCTGTAGAGAATGAGACCGGCTTCCTGCTAACAAAAAGGCTGAATGTTCCCATATCTGCCTCTTAAGCTCATCACTAATTAACGATGTGAGGCTGTCAAAGTAATGAAATAGGTGATGGATTGTTAGCCGGATTTAATTGCAATAAAGAAGTATAAGAATGGATCAGTTCATCAATATAACAAGATAATCTGCAGTCTCTTCAGTCCTTACACAGCAGCAGTTCCAGCAATAGCGCCCTCCAAGGCAAAAGGACCCATGTTGATTGATAGTTGACGTGTGTGTGCACTAATAGAGGGTATTTTAACTAGAGCTATCTTTAACAACCTCTTCCTCCCACCTATTTTACTCCAACACTTCAGACCTGTTTCCAGAACAGTGTTCATTATTCATTAATATTTCCACAGCTGCTATTTTCTTGCTAAACCAATATCTACTGTCCATATTCACTTAACTGTTGCTGTTGAGGAGGTTTTACTCAGAAGTACCTGTATAGTGTGCAGGGCTGACGGCAAAATGATCACTCTCAGGGAAAAAGCAAATTAGACACAACAACATGAACTCACTTGTTTGATAAAACCAAACGCTCCATGTATCAAATGTTATTTTGAGCAACTTACTGAATATCATTTTTATACAATTAGCATTGATGACAATGTAAATCTGTTACACAACTAAACCAGCCATGAACATGCAGTTCATGAGCAGGGACCATACCATCAACTGAGATGAGAAAGAATAGTTAATTAAATATGAAACATGTCAGTAAGTTTGAAAAGGAAGAAGTGCTAGGAGAATTTGAAGAGACTCCGGACATGGTGATAACCTACCAAAGTGAGAAAGTCACCAGAATTGGTGTCCTGATCAGAGCGTCAGATAGGGAGCAATCTCGGAACCCACTGGCTATCCTCTGATAACAATTTAGCTTCCTGGGGCAATGGCCACTGTTTTGGGGCTTCTAGTGTAGTAGGCATGGGACGATATGAACATTTTATGTCACAATTATCTTGGCTATGATAAGTGCTTTTTATCGCAATACTATATGCTATGATATTGTATATCATATATTTATACAATATATTATTATTATATTAATAATATTATTATTATTACTATTATTATAATAATTATTATATATTACAATTATTATAATAATAATAATTATTATATAACAATATATAAGATATCTATTGTATGTATATCTTCTTGTATAGTCA